TAATGATTGTCTTGAAATGAACTCAACTATAATTGAATGCAAATTAAATTAAGGAAAGCTTGCGTTGAATACACGAAGTGATAAATAGACCATAAAGTGATGCATTGGATTCAATTCACTGCCAGTCGATGTATTTTAGCGCCACATAAAAAGTTTTGGCACAAATAAATGTCTAGTTTATGAGCAGGCAGAATTTGCATCTCATGGTACATAGCATAAAACCCTTCTCTTGTAATTTATACACTATTCATATGTTAGTCACATATAGTGTACTAAAATAAGTCTACACTTTAAAGCCACCTTGGTGATTCAATAACCACGTCATATTAATAATATCCCCTATTTTATTCTGCCGGGTTATAGTCTAGTTTATTAATTTTTATATCCTTTTTATAATTAGCAATAAAGTTATTGAATTTTTTTATAAGACATACGACTACTACTGTATGTCCATAAGGTGTCCAAAGGTTAGTCCCAGATATAGTGATAGAAATAATGTTTTAGTTAATTATAAGTTACAATTTATTTTAAGTTATATTCGTATAAATTTAGTTTTCTGGTATTAAATTAGAATTTTATTATAAAATATTGTATAAATTAAAACTATATAAAGTGTATAAAACTTTCATTTCATATACAAAATCATTGGATGAGTGACTTATGATGAGTAAAATAATTGTAAAATCAAAGTAATATTATTAAACGAGTAAATTGTCTGCTATTTGACATGTCTTTTGTTGTAAACATATTTAATCGCTTCGACGCTAACATTGAATATAATGGCAAAGAGGGCGAGGAATGCGCCCACTTTCCAGATGGCAAACACATCTATCCTATTGATCAGATACCCTCCCGCCAGAGCCCCGATGCCCAGCCCTATGCCCTCGAAAGCGCCGGACATAATGCCCTGTAATGTTGCGTAACTTCTAGACGTCAGATCGTCCACAGAATTAACGGCGATTGTCTCGTCAACGGCTTCCGTGTCTTTATCTGCCATCTCTTTGATCGCTTCTCTCGCCGCCAAAATCCGGTGATTTTCTTGAGTGGCGTAATGTTGAGCCAAATCTGTCATCACTGTATAAAACAGTCCGAAAGTCAAACCCTGAACCACTTCTACGAGCAAAATATCCCAATAAGTGGTGCCGACAGTGAAAACATAGCCGTAGATGAAATATCTGAAGGCGAAAGCGGCCAAACTTATGTTGAGTGACATCGAAGGCCCGCAATATCTAAGTATAACATTGGCTACAATGAAGAGCGGAAGCTCTCCGGCGAATGACTCGACGAATAGCGCCAAACCCATGAGGAGAGAGTCGTTGCCACGGATTTTCTCCAAGTATATGAAATAATAAGACCAGTGAAAGGCAGTCAATGCGCCGAAGATTAACACAATCACTATGTATTGAATTAGCGATGGATTGTTTCGGAATATATGAAACACGTGTACCACTGCTTTCCACGAGGCTTTGAATGGGGCCTTCAATACCACCGAAAGTGGTTTCCGCTATTAATTACATAATAATTATCAATTATAAATCCTAAAATCAATAGCCAATCTTTTATAAATGTAGACTCTGTTACAAACCGTGCTAAAGTCTCAATCAGAGGCTAAGTAACCAGAAGTTCAGCTCGAATTTCATGTACTGTTAGTTGTCAATCGTTTCAATGCCCACAAACATCAATAGGCCGGGCAATAGAAATGGTAATTTAGTGATGTATTGATTAACAATGCCGGCGATTACCCCTACAAGAGATCAATGATAAGAATTGAGTATTAAATTAATCAATGAATTGATACAAACCAAAGCCGCCCCAACCGACTGTACCCCAGACACGATACGCGCCGTAGTTTCGGTTAAGTCGTGTCACTTCTTTCATAACGAGGTAATCGTTGAGAGAGATGACGATTCCCTGTCCAGAGTTAGCGATCAGTATTAATATGCAAAACATATACCACGAGAAGACACCAAAATTGACATATATTATCAATAAAAGCAGTCCATAACCCAAAATGGTTGCTATGATTGAAAATATTAAGACTTTTTTATGTGAATTGTTTCTGTCGGCTATCGAACAGAAGAGGGGTTTGAATATTGAGACAATGAATGGCAGAACAAAGTATAAAATTCCGATGTCTTCAGTGTTGGCCACACTGTGTTGAGTGGCGAAGACGGCCACGAATGGCATAATACCACTCAGGGATCCGAACCATAAAAAGTAGTGGACTTTTAATACAGACATCTTTGATAACCACTGCTATCGAAGAGTGAAAACTGGTTTCGATATTATATTATAACAAACTTTCTCTTATTTTTTTTATTACTTTATGTAAAAATTTATATAAAAACGTTTTTATCAAATGTTTTCAGTAAGATAAAGTCATAAAATGTATTTTATTATACATTCAAACAATAATTGTCTCAAATTATCAAATAAGGCGAAGATATATAAAATAATAGTATAAATATTATATACTCAACATTTAGCGATCAATTTTCAGTACAAACTCAATGCTAACCAAATATTTAGCTTCATTTAAAAGTAAATGTTTATTAAACTATCGCTTAAATAGAGATATGTTTATAATAATTGGCGTTAATTCGACGAAAATCGATATCTATTAAAGATTTTTGACATTAATTTGTCTCTAAATTCATTGGCAAATCGATAGGAATCTAAAGATTGACTAAACATTTGTTCACAAAATATAAGTCTAGAATTGATAATTGGTTTGTGAAGAATCGCAGACCAAAACACACATTCATTGATAACCAATTGGTTTATGTTTTCTGTTATACTGTATTTGTTTGCCATTAGATGTCAGAATATGAGTCAGATTCTTAACTCTATGCATGTATATCACAATATTCTTGTAATAAAATCATCTTCTTAACTTAATTTGTCTACATATAATTAAGTTAACCAATATAACGGTATACAAACTATCCTATATAATTATATTATCCTCCATTCGTGAACATCCTTTTGGTAATTAACACAAATAATCTAAGTGTTATGGTAAAATGTACATTGTATGTAATCACATGTTCTGTACTTTTGTAATAATAATACTGTTTATATTAGTGTTTATTATAGTTATTATGTAATATTACATATTTTTGTTGTAAACTATATTAGTAAAAATTGTGGTCAAATCACATGCTATAAGACTTATAGTATAAGTGATACAAATTCATAGATTATATTAATGATCACGATTTACAAACATTGCATACATTGTACATAATATATAGAATAATATATAGAATAGCGTTGCAATTCTTATTCTGCAAATAAAACTATAATTTGTTTTAATCTTTCATAAAATTTTAGTTAAAATTCAGTGCAAACATACCATATCTAAAATATTGTTGTCGACACTACACAGTAGTAAAGATTACATTTTTGAAAAAATATAATGTAATTTTAATTAAAAAATGATAATTAAAATCTAATTATGGTAAAGCATGTTGAAGTAATACAAATAATCTATTAAATTTTATCACTTCCAGTCATCTGTATTTTCCTATTTATTTTATATTCAATAAAATTGTAACGAAAACAGACAATAAATTAAAAATATATTTAAAAATATGATAATTAATAAACAGATTAATGCTTTCATTTCTGATGTAATCTTAAAATCCTGCCAATAATGAGGAGCGAAAATATTTAAGCTGCGAAAGTAAGAGCCGATGTCTGACTCCATAATATGATTTACAACAAATATGTGTAGTCTTTAAATAAATGCCAAAAATACTATGTTATCGTTATTACTGATTACAAAATGAATAATAAATTGAAAATAAAATTTAAACAATGGAAATATATATGAATTAAAGTATATAAACATATTATTGCAAATGTGAGGTAAACACACAGAAGCTATGCCAACGATTTAGTCTCATCTTATGATAATAATTGTTGCGAGTGTTACGAAAAATTTGAACAAAAGTTATAAACATTTAATAGCAAACCGTTAAAGAGAAGTACACGTATAAAATCGGAGCAAATGTTATATTTAGTACTTTCCGTATAAGGGATGCAAAAAGTCTTGTGTTTGAGTAGAGAACTGATAATAAGCTATATTTGGAGACAAAGAATATTCTGTGCAGACATGCGTTAACTTTATTTTAAAAACTTTTCACACAAAGTGTTACACATTTCTGAGTCCACTTTTGTTTTGCCGTAAAGTCCTGTCTCTCATCTAAATTCATTAAAACATATCTTAAAGTCTTAATATAAATCAAATCAACTGAAAAATGGTTTGTTTTGTCCATTTTATTGTTTAAAGTGTCGGAAAAAATGGTTTAAAATATTTTTGTGCACAAATTTCAGGGCGAAGGCGAAGGTTCAAAGAAGGCAAAGACCGGGTCTAAGAAGAGAGCGGCCCGAACCACATCCAATGTGTTTGCCATGTAATCATACCCTAAATATTTACATAACAACAAATGGATTACTTATAAGATAATAACAATGCCTTATATTGTGTTCAGGTTTACCCCCCATCAGGTCCAGGAGTTTAAAGAGGTATTTAGTGGTGCAATAAATAAGCGGTTATTTTGTCGCTAAACGCTCGCAAATAATTATTGAATGATATTTTTTGATTTTGTGGCCAATAATAAACGCAAACAAAAATTACTATTTGAAAGGCTTTCCAAATGATAGATCAGGACAAGGATGGCTTCATCTCAAAGAATGACATCAGAGCCACTTTTGACTCACTCGGTATGCAATGGTATAGTTTTGCTATAAATATAACACTTATGTGTTTACTTATAATGAGATGAGATTAATAATTAATTTTCTCAAAAGAATGACATCAGAGCCACTTTTGACTCACTCGGTATGCAATGGTATAGTTTTGCTATAAATATAACACTTATACATGTATGTGTTTACTTATAATGAGATGAGATTAATAATTAATTTTCTCAATGAAAACTACAATATGCTAAAATAGCAGAAAATTAAAATAACACAAAAACAATTGTCTATTTTAAGGCCGTCTGTGCACTGACGCAGAGCTGGAGTCAATGATCCAGGAGGCCCCGGGTCCTATCAATTTCACAATGTTTCTCACTGTGTTTAGCGATAGGACTCAAGGTATGCGTGCACTCATTGAACACATTTCTCTTGTATTCCGTGTTAATTGTGTGAAGAATAATGAATTGAATTAATAATTGAAAGGTACGGATGAGGAGGACGTGATATTGAATGCATTCGCTCAATACGATGAGGGAGAAGGCCTTTGCAGAGAAGAGACGTTAGTTTCATACGATTATAACATTAAATACAATAATGAGATTCACTAATCAATTGTGTTTTTTGTATTTGTTGTGTTTGTCTGTCATTAGTTTAAGGCACGCTTTGGTCACTTGGGGTGAGAAGTTCAGCGAGTCTGAGGTAATCAAATGGACTTTCATTACATACACAATACATAGAAAAGAAAATGAAAATGAGTTTTAATTAAACAATTCAATGTCCGACTGTTTGTTAGGCCGAAAAGATCTTAGCGGAGGCGCCGATGGATCGTAAGGGCAATATTGACATCAAAAAGTTCGCTCATATTCTGACGCGAGGAGAAGAGGACGAGGGGACGGCTGCCTAAAGCACTGCCCAAACCTCCATAAACTCATTGGAGCCACAATTCAAACGAGACATTAAAGCAAACATAACATCTTTTTAGAGACTTTTCAATTTTGTTGCACTTCTGAACAGATTTGCGCTCCAATTAACTCCAATTAAGATTTAATTATCTTTTTGTTTATCTCTTTTCTCTATCTCTTTATCTCTTATTTCTCTCTGTATTTCTCTTTTGGATTTTCTCTATTTCTTTGATTATATTTCTGTTATAATTGAATACTATTTTAGTTGAATAGTAAAATCGATACGATTTTAATAATGTATTATTTTTCTGGCGCTAATTATTAATAAACTGACTGACAATCTGTTTAAATCTGTTTTAATGTTTGCATTTTCTCTCCCATATAAATCTTAAATAACAATTTAATTGATGTTTTATTTGTTGAAAACTTAATAATAAGTTGTTATAAATTTGTTATATATGTCTGTATTATCAATAAATTGTATTCAAGAATTGTATTCACGTATTGCTGTCTTCGTTTGCATTTTGAATAATTTAGAGAAAACCCATTAAATTTCAATATATTATACATTATATACATTATTGTACTTTTTATTAGTTGGAAACTTGTATTGAATTTTACACAAAAGGATTATTGAATTGAATGAAATGGTGCTATAATTATACTGTTAACGAAGTTTTAATGACTATCTTATATATTGTATTAATTAATAAAACATTTATTTCAATAAATGGGCTTAAAATCAAACTTCAAAATCACTTTAAATTTAAGAATAAATGGAAAAAACTTAGAGAAAAGAGTTTTTGATCTCTTAGCTCAACAAACAGTTGTTTTCTCTTCCCATTCGTTTATCACTTCCTTTTACATCAAATCCGAGTCTAAATTTGTTTTCAATTTCTGCTGATATCCTAGAAAATAGAAAAATTTATTTAATTTAAAATTTGTTTTGTTTAAAATGGTTTGATTTGAAATATACCTATGATTTTATCATCACATGATATTCGCTTTGAATTTCCGAAAATCAAATTTTGTAAAACACTTATTCATTTGAATTGAAATCTGATTTATTATTACATTATATTTCAAATAACAATTGGACTAAAACTAAAACTGTTTTGTTATTTATGAAATTATTATTATTTCAATAATTTATTAGAATATTCGCTGATTATAACAATTAATAAAATTATATTAATAAAAATATTAATAGTATTAAGTTATAGTAAATATTTAAATTCTGTAAAATTTGCTGTTAATTAATTAAACATTTAATGTTAATAAATAAGTAAATGAGTTGTAAATCAAATAATATTTCATTTATTCAGTTATTTCTCTCACAAGTTTTAAAATAAAGGAAAATCTAAAGACAAATGATTTGCCAATAAAAAGAAAAAAGCAAATAAAAGCGATATATAATTGAAAGCAATGATTGATTCGGGAATTAACTAAAAAAATATTTTTATCGAAGAAAGAAAGAGAGATATATATAAAGCTTTTTTGTGTGTTTCTGACGATTGCTTTACTTGTGATGTGTGAGTGAGAAGAAGAGCCGGTCATCGGATTTAAACATTGACTGACAATTGGTTGCGAATAAATACGAAAAAATTATTTCTTCAAAAAGAGGGATATCTTTTTGGTTCACATTTATTATTATTATTGTTTGGTTTAATATAAATAATCGCTTCTTTTATAATTTGCTAAACGTTTCGCTATTATATGCCCTAAAAGTGAGGAATCATTTGTCGCCTTTAATTGCATTGTTTTTCATCGGTAATGATATTGCAGATGAACTAACAGTCCATTAATTATATAAACACTGACCTCTATATATGTATGGATGGTATTTAGGACATGATTTAGGCTCCGGCGCCCTCTTCTTCATCGCCTTTAGTTAGGATTTGAGCGAATTTTTTGATATCAATGTTTCCCTTGCCATCAGTGGGCGCCTCCGCTAATATGGTGTCACACTTTTGGACACAAATTAATTAACTATTAAATGATTGTCTAACAAATATAATTATTATATTAATACCTCATTAGAGGTGAATTTCTCTCCCCATGTGACCAAAGCGTGTTTTAAACTATAAAATATAATTACAATTTAGATAAATTTAATTGAATTATAAATTGCATTATTAAGTGGACAATACGTGTCTTCATTGCAGAGTCCTTCGCCCTCATCGTATTGAGCGAACGCATTGAGAATCACTTCTTCCTCATCGGTTCCTATGAGTAATCAATTAATTTTAATTATTATCACTAAAATTGTGATTAATTAATATCGTTCAATCAGTTTCATTTCAACACTTTACAAATATTTAATTAATATAATTATAATTTAAGTTATAAATGTACCTTGAGTTCTGTCACCAAAAATAGTAAGGAACATGGTGAAATTGATAGGTCCCGGGGCCTCCTGGATCATTGATGTTAGTTCTTCGTCTGTACACAATCGGCCTAATTATAACAAATTAAATTATTATAATAATTGCAATCATATTAAGTAAAAACTTTATTTAGAAGTCAAATACTGTTTTCTATAACGAATCGATACAATGTATAACATTTTTATGTGATCTCATAAATAAAGAATTTGTGTAAAATTTTTATTTTTTGATATTTGGTCAAAATATTGGTGTGATATACGTATACTCTTTTTTTATCCAAAACACTAATGACACGGAAAGAAATTGAAAGAATTTAACGATTTGATTGAATTTTGCCATAAATTTAACCATAAATCATATGGTAGTCGGTATTAATGTATAGATCAAAAGTATATGATTGTTAGCATGTGTTGTAAAGTATATAAATTTAAAATATATCTAAAATAATTTTTCATAAATATACTAGTTTAATACTAGTTCAGTTCAATAGAATTGATATAACATGATAATAATAATACTTTATTGCTAAAAACATGACGACATAACTATAAATTAACTGGTTAATTATATTATGTTTTTAATGTAAATTATCAGTAAGGCTATCATGGACTATTTATAGTTGTTTTCCTCTTTTAGAGTCCTCAACTAAATATAATTGTATGAACAAAATAGATCATGGTGAAATTTGTCATGTATATAAACTTTATTGTAGATATTATCTGATCTATAAGTAATGTTTTTGTTACGTTTCGTTAACTTTTGAATTTTCTTTTATATAACATTTATTTTGTATCAGTTTTGTGAGAAAATAGACATTATTTGCTGAGAAAAAAGTTTTCAATACTTCTAAATTTATTCAACACTAATATCATATTAACGTTTGTTTTTTAGCTAAATCTCGATCCCAAAGGATTTAAAAGTCATTCAATATTAATAAAAGAGAGTAAACTACAGTCAAAGCCAATATAAGCTATCAATACCCTCTAATAGAGTATAAATGTATGCAAATTCTGTGATTTATTATATTAAAAGCCAATCCCAACCTCTAATTCTATTAAATTCTGTTTAAAATCTTATATAAGGCTTATTGTGTTGTATTTCACTATTTTTAACCATATGTTTCGTTTAACCATAGGCTTTTAAATATGCTTCATATTAAACACAAAATCGATTATTTTGATGAAATTTAATGCTTTTTTCATTATATATTAAATATATATTTTATTTGACACATTGTGTGTAAAGAATATTATTAATCAAATACCCAGAGAGTCGAAAGTGGCTCTGATATCATTCTTTGATATGAAGCCATCCTTATCCTGATCTATCATTTGAAAGGCCTATAAATAAAATAAAATGCAATATTCATATTAAACAGTTATAGAAATTATTTGAAGCGTTATAGAGATTATATATTTTCTTCATCTCTTATAATAACAGTGAATACAAAAGAGTTAAAAAAAATATTAAAATAAAACCACAAATAATTGATTTAAAATTCAAATAGCATTGTGGAGGAATAAGGAAATGTCGGTAGTTTTGTCATTACCTCTTTGAATTCCTGGACCTGATGTTGAGTAAACCTGCGATCGAAAAGCAAACAAAACAAAAATATATTCAGTGAAAATCATTTTTTGCTGAATTCTCTGTTTGTGTAGTATTTTGTAATGTTATGCTATGTGTGGCCCATATATTGAAGGAATATATAAACCATTCAAAGTATTTCTGTGTGTTTTTGTTTTTTATAACTTCTATGTTTGTCTCGATTACATCGCGAAAACATTAGATCCGGTTCTTTGGGCTCTCTTTTTGGATCCAGACTTGACTGAGGCCGGGGCTGGGGCTGCGGCCGCGGGTGCGGCGGCGGGTGCGGCCTCTGCGGGGGCCGCTGCGGGCGCCGCCGCCTCCTTCTCCGATGTCTTTTTACTCTTCTTCTTCTTCTCCTTCACTTCATCGCCCTTTCAGTCAAAACAAGAAATTTAATATTTTCTCTCAAATATGTGTTATTTCTGTCTCCAAAGCGAAGACATTTATCACATAATTGTTTTGATTTTCTGCGCCTAAATATTTCCGTTAAAAAATTCAACTGTAATTTTGTGCTCAAAAAATAATATTTAATATATTAAAAATATCTTAAAAACAAATCAAACTCATAATTTCACGCAATTATGGCATAAATTTTGATTTTTAACGCAATTTATATGCAATAAGTAAATGGAAATAAATTCTGCGATCTCTGTCTCTGCCGTTATGTTAAGGACGAGGAGTAATAAGCGCTGCATTTTGTGAACATATGCTTAATATAGAGCTTTCCCTAAAAGGAAAGGCAAAGAATATTCCGGTCGTAAGAAACGAGTTAAGCATCCGATAAAACAGATGTGTTTTCACTTCGAAACACCAGAGAAATTGTAAAAACTCGTTCACATTTATCCCAGATTTTGCTTTTAGTTTTGTTTTATTGAACTTATATTAGAATTACTGATATTTTTTATGGAAAGTCTAATTAATATAACAAAATTACAATTTTTTATGTATTATTTTATTTATTACATATTAGTTTGTATTGATTTTCAACGATAGGTCTTTCGTTTATTTAAAGGCTTTGACTGAATGTAAAGACAAACTACTATTTTTAGAAACAAAAGCTTTTGGGGAGAAAAATGTGATTCAATATATTGTTTCGTGACTTTCATTGCATATAACGCCTGCGCTTTCATGTGATAATGAAATTATTTCCGAAATATCTAAAACTAAAATAATTTATTTATAATTAAATTATTTAGTTTACAATACATTGCATTTTTCAAATAAAAATTGTGGTTTGTATAAAAAATTTAAACAATATGTACATAACATGTATATTATATTAAATTGATTAATATATACAGTATATTAATCAATTTTTAATAGCGTGTTATAATAAAGAATTACTAATTATTATTTAAATTAAAACATTAATTTATAGTTTTAACATAATTTTTGCAAAAAATACTAATTTAATTAATTTCAAAACTTTACGCCCAAATAAAAGCAAAAATAATCAAATTATTAAATAAATAGTAATCAATCAAATTATGGTATATTATATGATATATGAAAAATGTTAGACCAGATATGCAACCCATTAGAGAATTTGATTGAAAAGGGCGTAAAGTTTTGAAATTAATTAAATTAGTATTTTTTGCAAATAATTATGTTAAAACTATAAATTAATGTTTTAATTTAAATAATAATTAGTAATTCATGATTATAACACGCTATTAAAAATTGATTTATATACTGTATATATTAATAAATTTAATATATGTACATATTGTTTAGATTTTTATACAAACCACAATTTTTATTTGAAAAAATGCAATGCATTGTAAACTAAATAATTTAATTATAAATAAATTATTTTAGTTTTAAATATTTCGGAAATAATTTCATTATCACATGAAAGCGCAGGCGTTATATGCGATGAAAGTCACGAAACAATATATTGAATCACATTTTTCTCCCCAAAAGCTTTTGTTTCTAAAAATAGTAGTTTGTCTTTACATTCAGTCAAAGCCTTTAAATAAACGTAAGACCTATCGTTGAAAATCAATACAAACTAATATGTAATAAATAAAATAATACATAAAAAATTGTAATTTTTTATATTAATTAGACTTTCCATAAAAAATATCAGTAATTCTAATATAAGTTCAATAAAACAAAACTAAAAGCAAAATGTGGGATAAATGTGAACGAGTTTTTACAATTTCTCTGGTGTTTCGAAGCGAAAACACATCTGTTTTATCGGATGCTTAACTCGTTTCTTACGACCGGAATATTCTTTGCCTTTCCTTTTAGGGAAAGCTCTATATTAAGCATATGTTCACAAAATGCAGCGCTTATTACTCCTCGTCCTTAACATAACGGCAGAGACAGAGATCGCAGAATTTATTTCCATTTAGTTATTGCATATAAATTGCGTTAAAAATCAAAATTTATGCCATAATTGCGTGAAATTATGAGTTTGATTTGTTTTTAAGATATTTTTAATATATTAAATATTATTTTCTGAGCACAAAATTACAGTTGAATTCTTTAACGGAAATATTT